TTCGATTCCTGATCTAAAATATAGTCTTAATCCTTAGATGGATGGAGTTGAGACGGTCTTAATTTTTTTAAAAAATAACAAACGTATTAATAAACTCTCTTGTATTGATTTTTTTTCATATATGTTTCGTATCGGTATGCATATCTGCGTATATATTCCCATAAGCGTCCGTATATCAGGTTTAAACGGATGCAGATATGAATTTTTTTTAGCAAGGCATGTACACATTCATATTCTTATCCATGATGGGTCTATAATCAAATACTAATATGATTAAGTGCGATATTGGAGCTACCCCAAGTGGGTGCGCGGGGGTGGGTGCGGGTTGGCGGGCCAATAAAGGGTAGGTTTTTGTTGTCCCTTTGTAATGACATACTGTAGAATAAAAAACTGCACCTTTCATCAATAAAAAAAAGAAGAGGACAAAACTACTTCGGATTCTGCAACCACCCAACACAAGCAACCCACGTGGATATATAACACTTCCATCCTCGTCCAGATCTAATAAACACCTTCAGATTTGATGAAAACACCATTCTCTCAGCTAAAATTACAGATCACAATCTTATTATTACATTCTTTTTCTGCAGGGTTTATTTACGAAAAGGTCCAGTTGCTTCGACGAAAGGCGGCGACTCTCGCTCGTCAAAACTTCATCCATTACGCGCGAACCTACGAAGAACTCACAGATTTGCCCCCATTCGCACCCTTTGTTCGGCAAAATCGGACAATCATTCTTGATAATGACTTTGTCAAACTATAAAAAATGCCGTATTTTTTATTGCTAACAAGGAAAATCCGGTCAGTTCCCCCAACTTAAATTCCTTTCGGAGTACGTCAGCGGTCCTGGTTCGAATTCCTCAGACTTGAATGGTCGATCAACGTGGTGTCCGAATAGGTACGAACTAGTGAGTATACAGCGAGTTGGGTAAACTGATCAGTAAAACCCCGGGTTGGTACCCACTCTTAAACCTACAGAAACCATGTGCGGAAGCCGATTTTTCCTTCTGAAAATGCCCTCATTATCTCTTATTAATCCCACCCCCCCGGCCCCCCACCCAATCCTTTGTCATCTCAGGTAAATTAGTAATATTATCCAAGTATGAGACCGATTCTACTAACCTACGAGTTGTGGAAGTTCCCATTATGCCCTCACCTTGTCCTCCGCTGGAACGCTGATCCTAAACTTTTCTTCTTTTGAAAAAAGGAAACTTTTTTCGCTCTCATTTCTTCACTCTTCACTCTCAATTTCTCTCTCTCTCTCATCTCGAAACCCTAGCGATCGAAAATGAGCGGATTCTCCAGTTTCGATCTCGTCGAGGCCTCAATCTGGAACCCTAGAATGCCCTCCTTCTCTGATTTCGAGCTCGAAGACCACGCCCTCGACCTCCTAAACCCTTGCCCTAACCCTAGCCCCTTCGATCTGCTCCCGTTCTTCGAGACTACTTACGATCTGATCCATATCCCTTCGCCGTCCGCCATTAGGAGGCTCCAGGAGCGAACGGAGACGGAGCTCTACCTCCGATCCCTCAGCGATAGGGTCACGGCCCTCGAGACGGGATTCGATCGAGCTTTCGCGCCAAAGAAGGCCGACTTTGACCGGAAGTACACGTGGACGACGGAGATCAAGGGGGAGAAGGTTGACCGGAAGTTCAAGTGGTCGACGGAGGCGAAGGCTGGAGAGGAGAAGAACTTCAAATGGACGGCGGAGATCAAAGGGAAGGGTAAGGATGAGAACAAATCCAAGATTTATAGTTTTCAGGCTTCGACGGCCAAGGGCAAGATTGTGAATAAGGAAAAGGAGAAGAAGAAAGAGGAGAAGAAGGAGAAGAAGAAGGATGATAATGGTGTGAAGTTGGTGGAGATCGAGGAGAAGAATCCTGGTGCCATTGCCATCAGAAAGGTCTGTGTTTTTATTCTTTTCTTCTTTTTTAGATTAAATGCGCGGAATTTATTGGTTTGGATTCCAATGCTACTTCCATTTTATGTAAATATTATCACTTGATTTTATTTGGTTGCTAATGAAGAGGTGGTTTTGATAGTAAGAATGGATTATTTACCTTATTTTAGACAGAAGATGCGATTTTGATTTTGTAATTGAATATCCTTTATTTCTTCGTTTTTACTATAAAGCATTAGAAATGACTTTCTTGGGTATCTTATACAGAAAAATGCTAGTTTTTAAGCTTTTAGTGGTTGCATTTGATTTTGACCTGACTGGTTTGTAGGTCAATCTATGTAATGTCACATATTTGTATATTAATCATGATTAGATGTATCGTTGTTCTGAACAAGGAAAACGATCTGAAATGGACATTTTTTTTATATATTCAAGATGCTTTCTTGTCATGTTTAGGCTTTAGCAGGTCTCTAGTGTAGTTGAAATGGAGTACCTACTATATCCCTTTTCAATTGACATACAATATGCAATTCTGTTTATACACTAAGTGAACACCTGAATTTTCTAGAATGACATTAGCAGAAATTGTCTTCAGTACACGAAATGCCTTGGGGATATGATTTTGTATTCGAAATATCTACTGTCTATTTCAGCGTTGGTATTTGTTACTGTGCATATCAGAGATCAATATGTTCCTAAGCGGTGCTGATTGTTAGTGGCGATCTAACATGTTTGTGTCAGATAAAGTTACAAATTTTGCAGGTTCATTAAGGGAAATGTCAGTCACGAACTAATAGTAATGTATAGTGGAATATGCCATTATCATTTGACTAACTAAAACAGTTATAGTTCAGATATGTCCATATGAGCATTTATGTTCAAGTGACAAATTGATTTGTTACTTGTTTTGCTTCGTAGGCTTTTTCCAAGTACCAAAGCAAGGGCAAGAGGAAGGAACTGTCCCCTCAAGATGCTGCTGTGATAATTCAGATGACTTACAGGTCTTATCTGGTTCGCCGTTCCCTGGTGGTTCACTGCCTCAGAGATCTGGCAGTGGCCAAAGCTAAGTTGAAGGAGATTAGAGCTATGTTCTATAACTTCTCTTATCGTCGTCGCCTTACCAATGATGCGGAAGAACGGCAGAGGTTCTCTGAGAAAATTATTGTTCTGCTGTTAACTGTTGATGCTATTGAGGTAATGTTGAAGAATTCTTATAATGTTTACAAAGTTCCTTATATGCCACTTTAACCACTTAAATCGAATTTTATATCAATTTCTTTTCATTATAATGTACGTCATTTGTCAACTCTTATGGAAACATCTAGCTATTAAAGCAATACTTGCCTAGTTGCCATCAAATTGCCATAATATTGTTCATATATTTTTAGTCATCTCCCTACCTATCTGTCACGCATAAAAAAAATTATGGAAACATCTAGCTGTTAAAACAATACTTGCCTAGTTGCCTTCAAACTGCCATAATATTGGTCATATATTTTTAGTCACCTCCCTACCTATCTGTCGCGCATAAAAAGAAAATCAAATACTGATGTTAATTATGCGCAACCTGTGTATTTAATGTTCTTAGTTCCTTTAACTATCCTGATCTATAAGAATTTGGTATATGATCAAAACCATGTGCCATCTTCCAAAAGCAGATTCTGGAAATGATTTTATGAAATTGGTATTTCAGAAATAGGTGGGCTGACTTTTTTTTGTTGTTGTTGTTGTGATGACTTGTGAGCCATGGTAATGCATTTAACACTTGTCAGAGATTCCAAATCTACTGCCTATTGGCGATGCAAGTTGGAACCCCTCCCAACACAACCTTTTTTTACATGCATCTTAGTTTGATGTAATGCGATTTTCTGGTTTTCTGAACCTGTACTAGTTTGTTCCATAAGCTTTTCTAGAGCATGTAAGGATGGTCACTGGGTTGATAGCTTCCTTCGATTCGGAGTGAAATTTGATTTATACCAATGATGTTACGTCCTAGAGAGTTTGTATTCCTAAAACTTCAACTTCTAAGTTGAGAGCCCAAAAAATCTTGGTTTGAGTTTATTCTTCAGGTGTAATATCCTATTCCTTGCATGACCCAGTTTGGTTTGATTTTTTCCCCCACCCAATAAATCTCTAAGAGTGGTTTCAAGGACAAGACACTTACATGCTAGTAAACCAATGTGTTGTGTTGAAGTGTTTGCAAACCTCCCTCATATGTCCCTTCTTTCTAGTATCAGGTGTTTTAGTGTTTAATATTTTGCTAAGGGAACTTACTTTCAAGTTTTTACTTTCATTGTTAATCTTGTTTTGCTAACATCTTAAAGCACTCTAGTCCTTTTCCCAGTGTGAGATTTCATTGGAACATCTTTTCAGACTTCTTTCATGTCACCATTTCCATGTTCTTTACAACTTTAGTGTACAATTATTAACTTTTTCAGAGTACTTCCTACGGTCATAATTTTTCGAATTTCATGAACTAATCCTGTGATTTGATTTTGGAGAATTTACTTATTTTATGCGCGTCAACTGTCAATACATATTAAAGTTATCTTTAATATATATAAGGGATACCCTTTTTTGTGGCATGTGTCCATGCTAGTATCAGTGTAATTGTACAAGCCTATTTATTAGGGGTCCGGGAGATTTGTCTAAGTTCCTGTGTAAGATTGCTGGCAGCCTAAGTTCACGTCTTGGATCATTATATATTGTCTTGGATCATTATGTATTGTCTTTCTGCATTGTTAATCTGATGCAGTTACTTAAGTAGGCATGTGGAATACAGCAATAATCCTACTTGATATTCTTTCCGTCCTGAATCCTGAGACAAACCTAGACCCATGGGGATATGAATCTTTTTGGAACTGGTTGACTGTCAGCATTCTTATTACCGTTGACAACGAGTTTCCAGACCTGGCACGGTTTATGGTTTTTTGCCTCGATCAACTTATCTACTCCTTGAGCAGCTGTCTGATTCCCTGAATTCAAAACCTTGTGAACTGCCAATGCATGCATTTTTCACACTAGAAAGTTACAATCCTGCCCAAAGTGACGTTCTTGGGCTTCGTGGCCATTTTTGTTAAAGATCGCATAGCGACTAGGGAGAAGCTTTTAAGGATGAGTCAATTTCAGCATGCCATGTATGGTGATGTGTAGTGTCTGGCTTTTTGCCATTAGTGAAATGATTAGCAGAAGAAAAGTTCATTTTGGTCTTTTGGTTTCTCCTTGGTAAAAAAGTAATTTCTTTACTGGTTGACCCCCGCACAAACAATGACACGTGCACAAATCCATATGTGCCACACATATGTACAGACATACACGCTAAGACACAAATATCGAAATAAAGTTCTGCGTATGGTATTCTGGATATAATTCTTTGTCAACCTAAATTGGCTTATTTCTTTTCTTTGATTCCTTTTGTTTAAAAGATCATGTGTTCAAGATCTCTTATGTGTTGACTATCGCCATATTCAGCATCTGAGTATCATAAATGACTCAAAAGATGACAGCTGTAACCTTGCTTACACTTGGTTGTATTGTCTAGATGAATTCACACTTTAATCTAATTGTGTTACCGCCAGCTGAACGTCAAAGTCGATAATTTTTACTGCAGTAGGTATTATATTTTTATCACTTTGTGATATATTTTGCTTCTAACTTGTCTCTTTGGCAATTACTTAACCAGGGACCTGATTACATGGTCCGGGCAGCAAGGAAGTCGATGGCTGAAGAGCTAGAGTATATGCTCGAAGTAGTGGACCCACAGCCACCCGGCAAGTTGGGTTCATTGAGGCGTAGGAACTTTGATCTGCCTGTTGGTGCTCCCATCTCGAAGGCGATGTCGAGAGGCGTAGCTGATGTCGTTCAGATGCTCGATGAGGATGAAGACAGCAGCGTTTGAACCTGACTTCTTGGTGCCAATTTCTCATCTTATATGAGGCTTTAGAGAGAGGAAGAGGAGAGGTCTTAGGAACTGAGCCTAGTTTCAGAGTTTGTAGAATTGTCCGTTTAATGCTGTTTTATGGTGAGGAACTCTTTAGGACGGTCGGATGGATTCGTCGTAACTTATTTTAATGTAATTTATGCTCCTGAATGTCGGTAGTCACAGTTGTGTAATGTGAACTGAGTGCAATCGCGTGTGTTTTCTAGAGGAATGCTAGCTAAGCTATTTTCTTGCTTTATAAAGCAGTGGTCTGAGTTATTGCAAGCAACGCGCCATTCTGCTCAAGTTTTGGATATATTTCCCTTTCCTCTGGTAACCGGATTGAGACCGTGAGGAGGCCAACAACAATCTGTTGGGATCTCGCTTTTCAGTAGGAGTTCTATATGTTTGGGAAGGATTGGCTTCTTGATCAAATTCGATGCAATTTTTTTGTGTTTGGCGATGGCTCGAAAACTCGGCCCAGTTCTGTACTAAACCAGTTCAATGTTGAACCAAGCGGGTTAATATAGAATTGGTTTTATGAACTCTTTCTGTTGGTCTAAGAAAAATTGGGCCAGAATAGAGTTTAAAACGGCGGCGATACAGTTTTAATGGTTTGTCAAACACATTAGAAGAGACACATTAGAAGAGGGTCTACGGAGCTTGACTATTGACTGCTTTGTGCACTTGTAATCTGAAAAATAATTTGGCTCATGGCCATTTATTCTGTTACCATTATAGTTTGACTGTAATGACGTTTGTATTTATTCTGTTACCATTATAGTTTGGCTCACGGCCATCATTTTACGTGGAAACTTTGCTAGCTGCATATTTTGCTTCAATTATCAAGGGTCCATTATTGCTGCTGCTTTTTTCAGGAGGTGGATCTTTCTGTAGAAAACTCTTTTTGTACAGCGGCACAAGCCATTCCGCGAGAGGCGCGCTGAACGTGAGTAGCTTGTTGATTACACAACAGGGAAAGTTTACTTTTAACCACCAAACCCTGGATTTTTTTTTTTTTTCAAAACACACACATTAACCTGCTCATTTCTTAGATATATACTTTCTGTTAATTAATCAATTTCCCCTTTCACCACTGTGCAGAGTGCAAGGAAAACTGGAAGAAAAAAAAAAAGAAAGAAAACATTTACAATTTTAGCGGAATCAATAGATTCTGTACGAGATCACAGGGGTATTAAAAACACATATCAGGGGCCTAAACAAGGTTTTTCCCAACAAAAAAAAACAGTACAACCAACATTAATAAATTATTAATCAAACAGCAATACATAAAAAATTAGGCAGTGGCAGGGTGAGGTCAATGTGCAAGTAAGCCAGGTGTCAACCCAAATTCAAATCAAATAATCCGTGTAGATTTTAGATCTACAAAAAAACACAGCCCGATTTCAAATCAACTTCAACAAGTTCACACACAGCTAATCTCTTCACACCACTAAAAGCTGCTTTGACCAAAAAAAATAAAAATCACCCTTTTATTCCCCTCATTATCTACAGTACCACCTCCCATACTCAAAACCTCTGCACTTCAAATTTCCAATCAGATTTGGGGACAAACCCCAGCTGAAATCTCAATCACAGTCTCCCCCTGCTGCTCTCTTCTGTGGCCTGTAGCTCTTCGGTCTCCTTTTATTCTCTGCTTGCAATTTTCTTGGCAGCTATTTGTTTTTTTTTTTTGTGTTTTTTTGGGCTGCTGCATGTTCGCTTCGATGAGGGAGAATAACTTTTGATCGATATGCACGCAATATGCTCGATGCTTTGTCTCAATGGGCATCTTCTATCTCGCCGCCGCAGGTTCGTTTATGGCTTATAATGGTGGTTAATGTTTGTTGCTCACCTGCATGTTTCAATGATCTATTTCTATTTTTTTGGGGGGGATTTGGGTTTTCCCGAATCGAGATTGGATTCGTTAATTGTTCGTCTTATGTTGGTATTTGATCACATGTTCAGATGGGTTGGTGGTCTGAATCACAAGTAAGCATGATCTGTGATTGGCAGATTTATAACCTGTGATGTTTATGAAGTTGCGGAGATATTTCATGATAAGCGTATTTAGGGATGGTGAACTGAATATGTGTATGGGAATGCGGTCTGGGTTGCAAATATAATTTGTGATTCACTTGCATGATCTTTGATCTTTCTGAATGAATGATTATTGTTCCGTTTCTGAACCTATTGGAAGCTGAGCATGTCTTGAGGAACCTGCATGATGACAGTAATATATGCACATTTTTATCGGAATTTAGCTTCTGTGATTTGTTATCATGAAATGAAGGTAGTAATATTTTCACTTTTGTGAATATTTTGACTTATCAGCCATCCTTTACTGACTTAACAATCAGATCGGTGGATGCCATGAATCATGATTGTCTGATATTCATTGCTAAATATCAAACAAATGTTGTAAATGGAGTTTGTGAAATAATTTGTTGAACCGCACCTTTGAACAAATAAACACATTGCATAATTGGAACCGATCATATGGGAGTACTTGCGGACACAACCATAATCCACAAGTTGCTAACCTGGTCGTCAAAATCAGCACCTGTTGATGGTAGTTGCTCGGTTTCTGAAAGTACCTCAGTCAGGCTTTTAATGAGCCTGTTTGGTTCAAGTTGAGCATGTTAACAAACCCGTGCATGACAGTAGCATATAACTCCTTTTATTCTCAGAATTAAGTTCCATTTATTTGTTAGCTCAATATGGGAAGTTTGTTTGATTCATTGGTTATGGTTTATCAAGTTTGCCTGCAATGTCAGATGTCTGGCTGTTTTGAATCACAAATAAGCACGATACGTATAATTCTGTAAATGCATTTTGTGTAAAATGTGGCAAACTGCACGACGGAAATAGTAAGTTTATCCGAAGATACTGAACTGACTGCAAATATGGAACGCCATCTGATTCACAAATATAATCTGGAACTCACCTGCATGATCTTACGTAGTCATCACAGAGTAAATGACGGTTTCTTAAAAATATTAGATATGGGCTGTTTATGAGCTTACTTGGTCTTGGTCCAAGAAGTGCATTCATTGAGAAACCTATGTATGACTGTAGTATGCCCCTTTGTAACCAGAATTCAGCTTCTGTAATTTATATTGAGATAAGATGATAACATTTATGCTGTGAATAATTAGATTAATTTTATGCTTGAGCAATTTAAGTGCCTTCTCAAATGTATGGATGCCATAATCACAACTACGGAACTTCGGAATGATGAAGATATGAACCGATCGGGAACCTCGTATCGTTCACAAACGGTAAAATACCGTTCGTGTCTCATTTATTCCGCGGATGATTTAATCATTGGAGCTTATAGAACTCCCCGTCGGCTTTCCAACGCACTTTGAATCACTCAAATCCGAGTTCGGACGAAGAAGTTACGGCGGAAACGATCAAGCAAGCATCGGAAATGTCTCAGGCTAAACTGAGACACCCTTGGGTGTCTCGGCCCAAGCCAAGACACCCAAGGGTGTCTTGGCCCAGGTTGAGACACCCTGGGGTGTCTCCAACGCAGAAATTGTCAGTTAGATGGTTTTAACCATCCGAAACCCCCTGGAGCCTATAAATACAGCCCCGGGTCCTCATTTTTTTTAGATCTGGAGTTTTGGAGAATTGGCGAAGCCCTGCCGGACTGAAGAGTGATCGAGTTCTTCAACGCAAGAGATCGAGAATCGTCAGATCTGCATCACCCGCACCCGATCCTTAGGATTATCCCGTTGTGGTAATTCTAAGAAGAGCAATTATCTCGCTGTTGTCGAGATAAGCGATTCTGCTTCTAGATTCCTTCGCGGATCGACGAAGTTCTGGACCTGATCTGATTGCCAGGTAGTCCACGGATATCGACGTCCCCGTCACAGGCTAAAGACCCACGCAAGCAAGAAACGACGAACGGATCTTGCGTTATTTTCGAAAAGTTGTAATCTTTTATTTTCGTTATTCTTTTTATTGAATATTTTGAATTCTTTGTAAGCAATCCAGATTATAATGAATTCAACAACGAAGGCAACTTTTTCCGAAAATAAAAAATATATATATATATATATATATATATATATATATATAATATATATATATATATATATATATAGAGAGAGATGAAGAGAGAGAGAGAGCCAAGACTCGCTATCACAAAGTTGATGTCCACCAATTCCTGCCATAACATTTTATTAATATAAAACAACCTTTTTATATAATAAAAGGATCCCTAGGGTAATTAGAGTGGTTAAAAACTTTGGTGGACACACTAATCCATATCCACCTTTAACGTTTGACACACAGGTTTTACGTAATATATATTATATATATATATATAATAATATTATATATATAGTATATATATATATATATATATATATATATAAATATATGTATAAATGGAACGTTAGGCATGCGGTTTACAAAAAAAATGCAACCATTCCTTTCAACATGGAGAAGTATATTGCATCACTGTTAACTAACCACAAATTTAAGAGTGTAATTTGACTCACAGACCTAATTAAAACTTCCTAGCATGATCTTCTACCATTAAAAATTGATGCTTACTGCTCGAGAAACCTATGCTTAAGTGCTTAACAGAAGCATATGCCTTCTTTTATTCTTGGAATTTTAAGTGTTTTATTAACTGCTCATGGTTTACTAGTTTTTAATTGCATGATAAGATGGGTGCAATTTGAATGACAAATATGCAGGATATGTGCTGCTAAATGTAGGATTAATGCTATAAATGCACTCAAATTATTTTTCAAACTTCTAACTTTGAACATGGTGATTCGCAAATAAATTTATAACTCCTTGCATGACCTCAATCAACATGATTTCCAGACTTACCAAAGTTGAGCTTCTTATAAGCTTATTCATTTCAAGTAGAACATGTTTTGAGAGAGCTATGTCTGCCTCTAGTGTATGTTGTTCGCGTCGGACATTGGTTTCATTGCTTTCGAATCCATTACAACTTCAGGCGTTACAACGATTCAAAATAAAAAAAATAAGTCTTTTTATAAGACTTTCCTTACAATGAAAAGAAACAGAAAGATTTCCTGAGAACATACGCAGAGATCGTTTATCGGTCTTCTGCTTGCGCGGGATTTTTACCGGTACTGGGGTTTATCCGTGGACCACCAAATGATTAGATCCAAAGAACGGTTTCATTGCCTAGCAAAGGAGATAAGAAACTAAAGTGAATATCTCAGCAAGGTGAGATACCCACTCTTCTTGAGAATCACAGCAATGTGCGATTTTGAGGGAAGTGGATGAACCGGATGCAGATCTCTCGAACTATTCCTCTTTATGCTGAAATAAGTCACTGATATCTCCTTCTCCTCTCTGAAAATTCGTGCTCCTTCACTCTCCCAACCGATAGGGCTTCGCCAAGGCTCAAAAATTCCGGATCTGTGCAAATGAATGTCCTAGGGCTGTATTTATAGGCTTCAGAAGTCTGTTTTCGGATAAGAACAAACGATTTGATCTTATCCTCAGTTGTAACCACTTAATCACGTTTATAGATAACCTAAATTCAGTTAGTGAGGCTCTGGATCAGAATCGGGGCAGTTCGGGACAGTCCGAGGTAATTCTGGATAGTCCGAAGCAGTTCTGGATAGTCCGCGATAGTTCTGGACAGTCCGCGATAGTTCTGGACAGTCTGGAGCATTTCTGGACAGTTCAGGGCATTTTTGGATAGTCCGGGCAGTTCTGGACAGTCCGGGGCATTTCTGAACAGTCCGGAGCAGTTTCGGACAGTTCGTGATATCCGCGGTAGTTCTGGATAGTCCGTGATATTTCTGGACAGTCTGCGGTAGGGACAGTCCGGGGCAGTTCTGGACAGTCCGGGTCGGGCCTGGACTGTCTCGGCCAAGGCCGAGACGTCGTTTTCCTCTTTTTGACCGTTTCGCCATAATTCCTCAATCCGATCTCTGAATGACGTGATTCAAAATGCGTCGGAAAGCCGAATAAGTGATCTACAACCTCCCATGGATGAATCATATGTGGAACGGACGAGACACGAGCGGCGCTTCGCCTTTCGTGAGTGAAATGTAATTCCCGATTGGACCGTTTCTTCGCTATTCTGCCGTCCCGTTGACTCGTACGCTTCGTCGACTCGCTTCATTCGCTTGTCGACGTCAGATAATCCTCATTGACTTGGATAATGACGTTTATCATCTTCTCTACGTCTCGAGCTGTGTGCGGAAACCTATTGGTAATTTTTGATGCCTACATATGCTCCTTCACCTTTTCTTCTTGAATTTAGCTTTCCTGATTTGTTGTCTTGAGATAGGGATTGTAACTTATCACTCTATAAATAAGGTTGATGAACTTTCTACTCATATAGTATTTTGACTTTTAATTTCATGTTCATATGGTTGGATGCCCTGAATCACCAAGCACGGCATGTATAGCTAAATATAGAGTTAATTTTAAATGTGGTTTGTTTAACAGTTCATTTTAATACATTGAAACACCTAGACTGTTTAGAAATTTAGGAAAAGAACCGGCACCAAGAAACTGACCGTGGGACTTGATGCAACTGAAGAGGACCGAGCTTGACATGTTTGTCAGTTATTGTTAGGTTGTAACAGATTAGCAAGCTTCAGATACATATCTGACTATTGTGCTCCAGTCTCCTTGAGCAAAAACTTGCAGTTTTCAGACACATATCTTGAAATCCAAATCATAAGGGTTCACGGTGTCAATAATTCGATTAACTAGCCATCTTTTGTTGACATATAAGTGCATGGTTAGATCGCTAGATTCATTGAATCACGACTAAGCCCGAGATTTGTTGCCAAATAAGGAAATACGGTTGTAAAAAGTAGTTTGTGGAATAGTACATAGAACTTAATTTGAGCATGTTAGTCTATGGTAGTCCATTTCTAGTCAGATTAGCAATTTCTAAATCCATATCTAGCTATTTGAGAACCCATCCTGCCTTAGAAACTCATGGAATTTAAATTGTTTTAAGAGCAAAGAAAATATTAGACTACATATAATTGAAAATATCGAAGGATATGTTTATGTTTAAAGTGTATGTATGAGATCTGTTCATGTGCATTGCTTTCATTTGTGTGTATCAATAACCGTACGGTTCTTTTAAGGAAATGCACATTCAAGAGTTTAATGCCTATGCTCTTACTTAAATTGATATGGCAAGTGTTCGAGCAACAAAGTGGTTGTATTTAGACCTAAAAATATCAGCCAGCTTGCACGTGCACCGCATGCAGCCACTTTCCATACCAACTTCCAATTAGCACGTGCAGTGCATGCGACAACATTCGAATGCCTCTTTTGTATCACCACCATTTTATTAGTACTTTCCTCTTTTGCACTCCTCACCCCCCTTGGCTCCTATTTATGAAGAACACAACCTCTTAACCTTTCCCCCAATCTTGATCATAATCCTCTGAGGAGGAAGAAGTAGCAGAAGATAATGGAGGTTTTCTATCCTTTAACTTTTAATCAGACTCTTCATAATTTTTTCTTTATACGACTTTAATACCAATTTCATGAATTAATCTGTGTTTTTCCAGGTAGAATTTTCGAGCGACATCCCACGCTGGTTGGACAAACTATTGAAAGAGGAGTTCTTTGATCCTTGTGGAAATCATTTAGGAAGCAAACAGAATGAGAAGAATATATTTTGCCTAGATTGTTCTTTGAGCATCTGCAGCAATTGTTCTTCGCGCCATTTTGGTCATCGAGTTCTCCAAGTACCCATCCCTTTTCTTCCTTAAAGTTTCTAAAGAACATATATAAAGGAAACTAATTTTTCCTTCTTAATTTCTCAACTTTTGGTTATAGATTCGGAAGTACAATGAGCACAGAGTGGTAAAAATAGAGGATATGGGAAAACTACTTATTTGTTCCTTAGTTCAGGTAAAGGCAAAAGGCAAAAGAAACCTATGATTTGGTGTATCTTTGTGAGAAGCATGCATTACATATTGTTTTCAGTAACTAGATTTGAAATCAGTGACTAGGTTACTATATATATATCTGTGTAAAACTAAATAGTGTTTTGATGGAAAAATAATTTCTTGAAAGCTCATGAAAGTAGACTCTGATTAGCTTGCATGCAGTCATACATGCTGAACAGAGCACAAGTAGTGTTCTTGAAAGCGAGATCTGCAAATAAAAAGAAAGACAAAGCACAGAATGAACAACAAACTAACAAGAAGAGAGGGAGGGCCCAGAATCAGCACACCCAAAACTCTGACAAGATCTGCTCATCCTGCCCACGAGCTCTCAAGGAAGATTTTGAGTATTGTTCTGTTGTTTGTATGGTAATGGATTGAAGCAGAAGAAGCTGCATCTTTCTTTTGAATTCATATTTGAAGGAGTTTTAATAATTTGGTGAGTTTTTACAGGTGAAAAAGGTGTTGGAAACCGAGGGAAGCATTAAGAAATACCTTCGACCTTTCCTGCCACTTCCATTAAACCTTGAGGAGTTTAATGGAGAACTAGTTCCTAGTGAGCTTGTCCTTAGAGATCCAAGCGCTTCTGGTTCAAATGGTGCTCGACGTGCTGAGTGCAAAAAGAAAAGAAAGAACAATGATGTGGAGACGTCTCCCTCTCCTTGTGCCTTAGTCCAATCACACCGAAGGAAAAGTATCCCTAGGCGGGCACCATTTTTCTAAACTCAAGGGTATGTTTGGTATTGAGATTTAGGGTTTGCTTGACTTATGACGATGTTATGAATTAGGAATGCTTTGTTATTTTCTTTTGCCATGTATATTCAGATATACGATTGATGCTTCATGTTTATCCATGCATGTGCTACCTTTCTTGACTTCTTTTATAGATTTAAATTCAAAAAAAAAAATATTTCTAGGTATTTACCACGTTGACATTTTATATGCCTATTATAACTAGCTAGACTTCTAACGAAGTTTCAGATAATTATGTTATATTTGATTTAGTATCCATACAATAACTCTATGTTCGCAAGAAAGTATCACCTAGATACCTTCTCTAGTTCAAACAATTAAACTTGTCACATGCTTCTCTCTTGGTAATTTAAAATGGTTAGTAAATACTAATTATTTCTTAAACAAAAAAAGTGACACATTTATGAATAATCCTAGCCCTCTAACCTAACCACAATTTAGTCAAAACTCCACGCCAGCAAAAAAAGTGTTAACCTACCTTTAGGCTACGGGTCACCCGTGTGGTCACCTATGTACCTACAATCAGTAATCTTAGGGTTATTTGTGTAGATATACGGACTCTAGGATCACCCAAATGCACCGTACCTCAGTATGTAGTTGTTGGTGTGGATACTTTTCAAAACAAACAATGAGCCTTCCGCCTGTGTAAATGGTCTTTCGTCTTTGTCTTATCCCTTGATGCTATTTCAAATTCCCCATAGATACATTCATTACTTGTAATTCTTTCTGTTGTGTTAGTCGCCTATTCTCAAGGTTTCTGTATGCTTGCTCATCATTTGGCTGCACTTGTCCTTTAATGGATAGGTAGAACCATAATCTGTGGCTGGCCTTATAGAGGGTGTTTGGCAAAGCTTTTTTTTTTGTCAAAGTAGCTTTTAATCTAACTTTTCATATGTACCTTTTGGTAAAATCCTATGTTACATGGATATGGGTGCGCGTGCGGACACAGACATAGTGCGGACATGGGACACGACAAAATTGTGAAAGTTAGGATATAGGGACACATCTATATACATACATATTAAAATTAATAATCATCATGAGATCAATATTGTTTTTCATTCACATGTCATAAGAACTACAATCCTTATATCATTTTTATGTTTTTTAATCGAGAAGTTTGTAAAGTGAAAAACTGTTCATTTTTAAACTAGATACCATAACATCCCTTTAAAATCATACTTATGACCTAGATGTCTGCTAAAATGAACCTGTCCCAAGTCCAATGAGTTGCATAAATTTGAGGTGAAGTATATGGTATACATGCAAGAAGTGTATCACAAGTATTTTGAACTAAAGCATGTGTTACATAATTGAGTACTCGTCTGAAAATACATGCAATATTCAAGAAGTGTCCAAGAAGTGTTGGAGTCGGACGCGAACATGGACACGGTTACGGGAGCCTAGATGAAGTTCCCGCGTAATCTAGGTAAAATCCTATTAAGCTAGCTTTTATAAGTTCCATTTAAAAAAGCTAGGATTTCCTAACTTTTTAAAAGCTAGCTTATAAGCTCATCTAATAAGCTAACATGCACATGCATTTAAACATGATCATTATATATGGATAGTAATACATCAGTCACATTATCACAATTATGGAATTGTCCTAAATAACAAAGGTGTCCACTGCACTTGTTTACTTTTGTAATCTTGCTGAAGTTGCATCCCATGCATGCTAAAATTGATTTACTAATTTGAAGTATTGATATGCAGTTCTTATTTTGAATTTCAATTGTATGATTGATTATATATATATATATATTACTAGTATATATATATATATTATATATATATATTATATATATAGCAGAGACGAAGAGGAGAGCAAGACTCCTATCAACTAAGTTGATAGTCCACCAAAGTTTGTAGCCACAACATTTATAATTATAAAATGACTTTTTTATTATAATATAAGGACTCCCTAGGCCCAATATGAGTGGTATTTAAGAACTTTGGTGGACACACTGTATTCCCTATCCACTTAAGTATGACACAAGTTTTCACCATATATACTATATATATATATATATATATATATATATAATATATATAATTATATATATATATATATATATTATATATATAGCGCTAAATACCCATCATTGGTTTATTTATATTTCAACCCCAAGTTTCAACAAGTATTTAAATTAGGCAAACCCGCCTTTTATAGATATTTTAATTTGAAATCAACTAAATCAATAAGGCGCCATGTTTTCTTGTTTGGCGCGGCAAATTTCCGACGAAGATCTCGTCACGTGCCATGCATGTGATGTCTCAAACTCGTTTTTTAGCAGCGGCGACGGCAACAATCTTCCATTCATATTCAGCCCAAAGTAGGATAAAATAAACAGTTATGACGCCGCCTGAGATCGCTAACCCCATCGAATCGGCCTGAATATGACGAGATTGTTCGTCGTCGCGTTGCTTCAAAAACGACGTTTTGAGACATCATGTGCCCATGCACGTGACGGAGATCTCGTGCGAAAATTTGCCCGCCGACCTGAGAACCATGTCTTATGGTTAGTTGGATCCAATTCAAAATGTGTCTAAAGCGGGGTTGCCTTATTTTTAAAATACCTTGTTTGGAAATCTTGGGTGGAATGAAAATACAATATGGGTATTTAAGCCTATATATATATATAATATATATATATATATATATAATTAATATATATATATATTATAATATATATAATTATATATATACTATGATATATGAAGCGGGGGTAGTAAAGTTTGTCATAGTTAATTCTCTAATACGTAAAGCGGGAAGGACATGAATATTGAGTCCTGATATAATCTTTGTTATTTTAGAAAGCGAAATTTGTGTGCTACTTTGAATTATAAGTTCGTTCATAGTTAATCTTAATACTATGAGCGAAGAACATTATATGTTGAGCTCCGGAGATAAGACAGTATGCTAATTAGAAAGAAGTTTGTGTATACTTTGGATTATTCATACTGTATTACTTCGTCTCATTTATACATGCGTTCAGCTCACTTCAGCTATGATTCAGTAGTTGCTTTGTTAACTACTATATATTATATATATATATATATATATATATATACTATATATATATATATATATACGGGTGCGTTAATCTTAATACGTAAGGAAGGACATAATATTGAGTCCTGATATAAGACTTTGTTATTTTAGAAAGAAATTTGTGTGTACTTGGATTATAAGTTCGTCATAGTTAATCTTAATACATGAGGAAGGACATACTGTTGAGTCCTGAGATAAAGACTATGCTAATTTAGAAAGAAATTTGTGTATACTTGGATTATTCATACTGATTACTTCTCTATTATACATGCGTTCAGTCACTTCAGTATGATCAGTAGTTGCTTGGTTATTTGTAAATATCTTCCTTTTTATCCTTCTGCTGTACTTCATATGCCTTCATGTTTTTCTTTTTTCTACATTTTCCTACTAATTAGTCTAGTACTTGATTTTGATTACAGATTTTTGTTGATTATCTTTTCATAATTACCCTCTGTAAAAGTTCATACTGCAGTTCAGAAGTTATATTCTTTTACAATTTTTATGATTCTTATATCTCCATTCTTTTAGATAGGACAAATGTTTTGCTTCTTCATTCATCAAGGTTTCAAGCATTTTTTCCTGCTCTCTTTATCTCCCAAACATTCCCAGAACTCAGATTGATTATCATAGTGTACAATAACTCTTATTTTCACCTTCTTTATATCTTCACTTTGTTAAATCTATTTCTCTGGCAATATTTGTGGGCACATCATTTGTATGATTGTATCTATGCTATTATATCCCTTATATGGTTCATTTCAAAAGATCTCTTTATAGTTCATTGCCATTTTTTTTCTTTCTTTTACTGGCATTATATAATTTATATTTAGCTAAGTTTGAAATCTCAGTGTCAGTTGTGATTCCTGTCAACCTTTGTTGGTATCAGATTTTAGCGCTTCTGGGTTGATTTTATTGGCACGTCAGTTTTGCTACAAGCTTTATCTTCATTGATTTTTATTTGTAGTATATAATAAATAAACTTCCATTTTTTAAAACCTTAAAATCTTCCAGTTGAATTAGACAATATTAGCCTTCGTCAATCATTATTCGCCAATATTGGTAGTATTAACCAATTTGGCTAGTTTGGATTGGCACGCTGAAATCAGAGATGATATGGCCACTACGTGTTGATGTCGGCCAATACTTAAACCTGGCCTTAACGCTCACATGCTTCTACTCTTTTTTTCCCCTACCTCTTCATTACAAGCTTGAAATATCGTTCTCTCTTTAAGAGTTTTAAGAATTCTGCTTAACTTCAACATAAGCCTAATATTTATCATTTGTAAGCTCCATGTTTCGTTGATTTTATTAGTTTCAAAATTTTCAATTTTCTTGGACTTTTGATATTGTTGATAAATCAGCACTTGGCTATTAACTTTTGAACTTAATACAATTTCTTATTGTCTTTGTTTAGAGGGGAACCGTAGCTTTTGATTCTTCTAGAATATCTCTGCAATTTATCTCTCAGGTTCATCACTTTTTCTTAAAAGTGTTCATTTGCTTTCTTTCTTCAACATCCAGTTTTGGATCTTGTATTATCTAGTTCATTTATTCCCCTTCTTAAAATATGTCATGAATTGAGCTCTCTTTAGTAATGTGTTGAATTCCATGCCACCAGTTACGTGAAACTTGGTGACCTTTGGTGGTAGTTTTGAATTTGACCTTAAGGGGGAAACTATACGGAGCAGCGTAGTTTTGGCAACATAAGTACATGTTTCACGCACATTGATTATCTGATCCATGTGGAATCACTAGTGATTTTGTGCTGAATGTACCCATCACATACTCACTTTAGTTGATGATTTCTTGTGTTTTATATTTTCATTTTCATCTTAATTTAAAGAGTTATTCTGCAGAAACGATTTCTGCTTTAGACCCAATTAGCTGAATCTTTAAAAGGAATATGCTTTGGAAGCAAATCTTCTTTTTAATCTTATAACTACTTATCAGGCAATTACAAACGACATTCCCCCTGTTCAAACCGCCTCAAGGCTAATGCTGTGAAAACCTTGATCAAAATGATATTTCATTTGATCCTAACCAAGCATAAGATACGTAGAAGTCATCTCGGTGATTATCATCCTTCTAATTTCCTTATATAATATCCTGTTATCGAAAGCTTGTTATTCATTGGTAGCGCTAAGTGGTGATATAAATAATTTTATTCAAAGTTACTTTCAATGACAAAAATTATTTCTCCAAATGTAATGAAATATTGAATCTAGATAGTGTTTCCCTTTCGCTGGGATGAGATATTTAAAGATCTATTTAATGTTTGGCCTGCATATACGGTACAATCCTTCATAAACAAAAACACGTGTATGAAAAAAATGAATCTGATGGTTGTAAGGAATAGTAAGGGTGGCCAAAACCTTCATGTTCAACAATCAATAGTTTGATTCCCTTCATGCATTTTCCCCCAAACATTTGTGGGCATATGATCATGCTCATGTAAGCTAAAGCATTCCACTCTTCTCTTGTTTTTCTCGACTTTTTTCAGCAGAAAATATCGATTGTTGTTTGTAAAATTTTGAATAAATGATGAATAATTGCCATGCCAATATTTTTCTTTTCAAAGTTTGAAATTTTCTGACGTTTCGCCTTCTCTTCTCCCTTTGCTAGGTTCTGGATTTTTGCTCTGCAATCCTTGAACTGCTGGAGAGGGCATCAAATTGGAGATATTATTAGGCAGTTTTCAGGTGCTTTTTACCTTTTGAACTGAACTTATGAACATAAGCTTGAACATTATGCAAGTTCTAAAACTAGTACTTAAAGTCATAAGGAGTTTGAAACATGAAGTCAGTTGCCAGCGAGGGATTTCCTTAGAGTTACTTAAATCACTATTCATTTATTATCACTATTTTTTGACTAGTTTGGTATGGTGGTTGTTTTATTTGATTCCTGAAATCTGATCGCTTCATTTGCCCTATGATTCAGTAGAGGAATTGGCATGGCTAATTTAAACCTGTGCAAAAATTAATCGTCAGGTATCAAAAACTTAATGATGAATGTTCTTAAATAAATCGTGAGTATATCGATTAGTCTTGTGATGGGACTGCAGTTTGATTTTTGTGAATTGTCTTGCTTGTGATGATACAGCTGTGGAGGAAGCTTGATTTTGTGGTTTACTGCAGCAGTTTGGCTGTATATAAATGCGAAATCTGTTAAAATTTCCAGGATTAATACTTCAATTTCATTTGTATTAACAGGTGAGCTAATATACTCTTTTGTTGAAATTAGATTTGAACTTTGTGAGCTGGAAATCTAAGGCCTTTCTGGTTCTGTTATCAGAGCTCATCGTCAGTCTGAGCTCTACCCTTATCAAATTACAGTACAAATGAAAGATTGGACAGCGTATTTGTTTCAATTTTTTTTATAGCGCTCAGAGCAGCAATGTGCAACTGGAGCAATGCTTGCGCAGACAGAAGTCACAGGTTTAAGGTTTATAAGTTTAACGTGAACTGGCAATATATGATGCTGGGGTTCTTGCGGGGTAAATTTTGGGAAACCCAATTAATTTGGTCCAATTTCAGATAAGAAAAAAGTTTGGAAATGTCACTTAACCCCGGAAACCTTAGTGTTCTTCTTCTGACCTTTTTGGGATTATTGAACAAGGTTTTGGAGGCGTTAAAAGTGATATTTTCAGACTTTTTAAGTTGATCTCAAAATCAACCAAACTTTTAGGGGGATCTTGTGATATTTACCTTGTTAGTTTACATGCGCGGACACAGAAAAACACTGTAGCGGTAGCCGTGAAGCTGTTTTTGTGCCAGTTTTAGCCGGCCCAGAACTGCGGCAAAGTCGACGCTCTTGAGTTGGCAAACCTTGATTTCTGGTTCATTTCTATGCCCTTTAACTATGGATCTTTGTGAATGATCTCTCAGTGGCTAGATTTTCACAGACTCCACTTGTTTTCAATAATCATATAGTATATTCCAGTGCATGTGTCATGATGGTGCAAGTCTTGGTTGGTGAAAACTTACGGTTAAAGGTATCACAGTTTGGATCGGATCTAAATCACTAACTGAATATGAATCAGGAGGCCGAACAGCGGTTCCCATGTTTTCGAGGGACTGATATCGAAATATGAAAAAGTAAGGGACCGATACAAAATATAACCCTTAAAAAAAAAGGTGGCAACGGCCCTCTTCATTCGCAACCTTGCACAAAGTGTGCTTTAGGTAGAATACTTTGTTTTTTTTATCTTAACTAGAGTTTATGGACTGAATAAAGAGATGAAAAAAAAAAAATACTATGTTAGCCAGATTAACTTATCTATGCAGTCATTTCTGTTAGCCAGTTTTCATACTACTCCATTTAGCCAGTTTTGTGATGCATATATATGCACAAAACCTTGGGATGATGTAGTGACATTCTGATGGCAGCCTGGATTTGAAACCTAATTGACTCAGCGTATTCATTGAAGGAATTGGTTTACGCTCCTACTACGTTGTCGATATGTAGCCAAACAGTAGCACATGCAGCGTGCATATCGTTAACCCCAGTGTTTTCATGAACATCCTGTTCTATATATCGTCGCGTGCAAACAGTTTTAAGGTATGTACGTACGGCTGAAACAGCGGGATTCAGAAGCGAGCTCGTGGAAACGAGTGGCGACAGGAGGAGGAACAGAAGCTAGAGCGGCGGCGGCCTAATAATTAGATTATGCCCATGGACACCGAGATGCAGCAGCATGCATGCAGATATTTTATTTTGTTTTTGCCCGGTGAAATCAGAAAAAACTGGGATTGGTTTGGACAAGATGTCTATGTATGAATCCTGGGTGTCGCGTATCTACATGAGAAAATTGCTTTAGGTAGGGTCTCTCATGACCGCGCTAATGGCCCTCAGAGATTCTCAACATATCACATGATGATTTGTAACAGCTCGCTACATATCCGGATTGGGTAGATAGATGTCCCTGCCAGTTTCCATCTACTGAGCCTGAGCTTGAGCTTGAGCTAGGAAGTACTGCTGCAGTCGATTCTCCTTCTCTTTAGCTTTTTACTGTGACTTGGTAAAGTAGGCTTTTTACCGTGCATGAGAGGGATTTGAACACCAATTCCCTCGATGAGGATATGATTCTGGGAAGCAGGGGGGACTGCAGATCTAGAGAAAGATTCACCTCTCTCGAATTTGCTCGCAGGCCTACGTACACTACAATTGGCTCTCTCCTATGGTTGGATCATGGACGCCATTCTTGAGTCGGATTGCCTCGAATTGGTTCTCATCCTCTACGGAGTTATCACTCACCGCCATCACCTTCGAAGCCTTTTTTTGTGACCGGTGGACATTGTTCAAAGTGCTCGACAAATCTCTTGTTTGTCACGTTCGTCGAACAGCTATGTGTGCGCATAGTCTAGCTCAATATGCCTACAGATACAGATGTACTTCGTTCTTGGATGCAAGTGATGGTCCAGACTATATCGATCCGTGTTCAAATTATTTTAGATGCAATGTTAATTAATAGAATATATTGATTCCTAAAAAAGAACGATGTTTGTTTGTCTTATTAGAGGAAAAAAGGTCTAAACTGCTAAATTGGCCCTTACAATGGAAAGTAAAGGCTTGCTTTTTGTTATATTAATGGGGAAAGTCAAATTACGATCATTAGAGAACTTTTCAAAAACTATTACCTCAAGCAAACTTTTTATCCTAAAGTATTCAAGGAAATTTTTTTAATGAGTTCTCAAAGATAGGAAAAGTTTGTTCAAGCTGCTAATTCCCTGAAGATGGAAAATGTTATTTGATGTTCTACAGAAAAACTGGCCTCCTATATATAACAAGGGAAATGCATCTATCTTGGATTTTTAATTTCCCCCCTTGCATGAAAACCACATTTTAAAATAGGTTGAATTGATAAAACCACATTTGAAATACTTTTTCTACGTAAATTATCTTTTAAGTGGGTTTATTTTCAATCAACCACTTCGTGTCAAATTCTTCTCAATTAATACATTAATTACACAAACTATCCTCATTAATTACGTATGTAACTGGGAAACACGTGTTAGTCACGTGCAACTATTAAGGATAGTCTGGATAGTAGTTGAGTATTAATTGAGCAGAAATTGACAAAAATGGTTGATTGGGAACTTAAGTTACTTATAAGATGGTTTACATATATAAAAAAAGAAGTTCCAAGAATTTCACCTATTTTAAATGTGATTTTCATGAAAATAACCCAATCTATTTCATCAATTTCCTCACTTCCCTTATCCTTTTTATTTAATTGTCACTGACACGTCACCAAAATTTTCTTCCTAGACTAGTGCACAGCTTGTAAAGCGGGATATCATCAAAGGATCTTTGCATCAGCAATGGGACCCTTTGCTGAAGAGAGACTTTGAATTTTTCTGGCAACCTCCTAATGTTTAAAATCATTGCCAGTAGACCCCCTGTTCTATTGCCCAATTAAAGGATCTTTGCATCAGCAATGGCATCTGTGCTGAAGAGAATGGCACTGGAGGAGCTCTTCGAAATATTCTGGCCACCTCCTAATGTTTAAAATCATAGCAAGCAGACCCCCTGTACTATTATATATAAAGGATCTTTGCATCAGCAAAAGAGAATGGCACTGGAGGAGCTCCCTGAAATATTCTGGCCACCTCCTTATGTTTAAAATCATTGCCAGTAGACCCCCTGTACTATTGCGCAATTACGGATGGTTGCATATAGACCCTTGAGTGACTCTGAGTTGTTTTTTGACAAACAGACTACCGGAGGATAAAGAAGGAGAAAATTCACTCAGGGGACCATGTGCAAGAAAGGAACTATGGAGGGTCTAACAAGAATTAATTCAAACAATCAAATAATTTGTCATAAGAGGCTAGCTTTTGTTATGATGCGAGGTTATCCAAAGTTTCCTTTACTTTATTTAAGATCTACAAAAGATAGGGAGGCGTTACAGGCACACCCACTAGCAGCTACAGTACAGGGGCTCCGCTTGAGATTTTTAAAAATCTCAAGTGGGGCCCCTGCACTGTAGCTGCTAGGGGGTATGGTCGGGGGTGTGCCCGAGGTTGTGCCTGTATCATTTTTTCAAAAGATATCATGCTAATTTAATTTTCATTGTTTATGCAAATCAAAGTACTTCTGACAATTGTATCTTCAAGTTTTATTTATTTATTTATTTATTGTTGAGTTCGGTTGGAAGAGTATCAAGTGCATGTGGTAACATGAAAATGCGTGGAAGGGGACAGCTAAAACGGTGAGACGCGGCGCGCGTTATTTATTTATTTATTATTATTATTTTAAAGAAAATGGCGGTTGTCTTGAATAGTTTTTTTTTATAAAAAATAGTAGTGGATAGTATTCCAGAGTCAAAACATATATATGATTATGTCTGCTAAACACAAGTCATTCCTGATATTAGAATTTGATTGGGTGCCTTAATTAACGTTTTGGTATTAACTTAGAGTTCGCGGGTCAAAAAAGAGAAAAAAAATTTCTTTGAGAAGGCGAAGTTAGAAATGGAGTACTGGTGAAATTTGGCGGCCTGTAGCTGCTAGGGGGTATGGTCGGGGGTGTGCCCGAGGTTGTGCCTGTATCATTTTTTCAAAAGATATCATGCTAATTTAATTTTCATTGTTTATGCAAATCAAAGTACTTCTGACAATTGTATCTTCAAGTTTTATTTATTTATTTATTTATTGTTGAGTTCGGTTGGAAGAGTATCAAGTGCATGTGGTAACATGAAAATGCGTGGAAGGGGACAGCTAAAACGGTGAGACGCGGCGCGCGTTATTTATTTATTTATTATTATTATTTTAAAGAAAATGGCGGTTGTCTTGAATAGTTTTTTTTTATAAAAAATAGTAGTGGATAGTATTCCAGAGTCAAAACATATATATGATTATGTCTGCTAAACACAAGTCATTCCTGATATTAGAATTTGATTGGGTGCCTTAATTAACGTTT